GGCTGGCTATAGTTGCTGAGTCATAGTCCTTGGTTTTAAGTCAGATCAGGACTCAGAAAGGTATTTAAAGGCCAGTGCTTCCCCAGATAAGCAGAATCCAAAGCGCACTGAAGATGTCTCCTTGAATGGGGACGAAACGTTTGCAACCAAATACCAAGCTCGGAGCTCAAACCAACAACACTATATTAATCTATATTGTGATTTTGCTCATTTTCTAGTCTTCAATCTAAATCTTTAGTCTATCTGAACTTCTTCACCACCTGTGTAAAATGAGAACTTCAGCAGTAGCACAACATGTAGGTCTAATCTTGACTTATTAAGATGATAATGTGGATTTAATGGAGGTATTCTGTCTTTCTTTTTACTAGGGCTCCCTCCCAAACTACAGACTGAGTAGTAGGTTTTTTTTTTATTTAGAATATAATGATATTACATTTTGTAATATTTTGACCACAACATTCATAACTCAGTCTGTATATGCTGTCACAAATGCCTACTCATTTTACAATTTGAGACTTTCATTTTGTTAAAACCTGGAATTGGATCTGAAGTGCTCAGCAGTGAAATAAAGAAAGGTGGGGCTCTAAAGAGAAATAGATTACATGCTTGAAAGAGAAACAGGCTACAGGTGGTCCTCGATTTACAACCATTTGTTTAACAACTGTTTGAAGTTACAGTAGCACTGAAAAAGGTGACTTACAAGTACAAGTACAATTTATTTTTACAGTCTTAGACCAGAACTAATAAAAGCACTCAGTATATATACACTTAAGAATTCTAGTATAAAATAATAAATAACAACTAAAATCTATAATAAAATCCAGTGTCAATTATACATGGTCTAACTATACGATAGTCGCAGTCTATTTGCAGAGATTCTGTGCAGCAACCCTGGGGATTCGTCGCAAATATATGTCTTCTCTACCATAGCAATGTATATAATAATTGTGGCTAACCCTTTGCACTGCTTAGTCATTTCCCTTTTAGCGTAGAACCCACAACAGGCCACACAGTTTAGGGACTTACAACCAGTCTTCATACTTGCAGCTGTTGCAGCATCTCCACGGTTACATGATCCAAATCTGGGCATGTATTTAGGATAATGCAGAATCCCAGGATCATACGATCGCTATTTGTAACCTTCCCAATTGGCTCCAGCAAACAAAGGCAGTGGAGAAAACCAGATTCACTTAACATCCGGATGGCTCACTTAACAACTCGGTGATTTGTTTAGGAACCATGGCAAAAAGGGTCATAAAATTGAGTTGACTCACTTAACAATCATCTTGCTTAGCAATGGAAATTATGGTCCCTGTTGCAGTCATAGGTCAAAGACTTCTTGTATTGGCAAAATTAGTAGAAATAGTACAAATTACAAGAAAGGTTACAGAAGGGTGGTCATACATCCAATTTACAGAAGACATTTCTTTCATGGGGGGGCATATTCCGTTAGAAGGATTGCCCAATTAAATCTAGTTTAAAAAGAAAAATAACTTGAATTCTGAAAAAGGAGGAGAGATCCTGACAAATATTATAAGCTATGACCATATTGGCTAGAAGAAAATAGGAGTTGTAGTTTAATACCTAAGTAATAGCTAAAGCTGGGCTCTTTTATGACTGGAATATAAATTGCTAACGGTTTCTAGCAATCACTAGGAGTGCATACTTTGCATATGAATTTTGATATTCAGAAGCAATATGACGTATTAACTTACATTTTCTTTCTATATATTTCATAAGACATTTGTTTTCTCTAAACCCATTTCCAATTCACTAGAGAAGCAAACTAACTTCATTGCTTTTTTGACACAATGCCAACCAGCCTATTTACTTTGCAAGCTTGTTACCAACCAGAGGATATGTTATTCTTTCCATGCACTTTTATAATTTTCACCAACCTTGGCTGGAATTTTTATGTATGTGCTCATACAATGTAAACATTGTGTAAAATGGAAGTTCCCTTGTGACAAATTTTTAATGACATTATTGGTTGATTGATTATGTTCCATCAGATTGTTGTTGACTCTTAGCAGCTTCATAGATTTGCCTCATGAAGGTCATCTACCTTGTTTCTTGTAGTCTTCGTCTTCTTTTTGTTCTATCTTTTCGACCACTAGAACCTTCTCCAGAAAGCTGGGTCTTTGTATAATGTGATCATTTGAGCTTGGTCATTTGTGTCTCAAGTGAGAACTTTGGGTTGAAGTATATTTGGGAGGAGTAAACAATTTAAAAATATAATCCCATTGAAAAGCATGAACACTTCTACACACCTTTCAGTACATCTTTTCCTCCTTTTAGAAATATATTTTGAAGGTACTTGTGTAATACAGATAGTCTTTGGTTAGTGACTTTTCAGAGCAATGATACTGATGAAAAGCAACTTTCCTTGCATTTATGATCTTCACAAATCTGTAAAGCAAAGGAAAGCTGATACAAAATCATAAGCACAGTCTCCGTTTCACTTAGTGACCACTTAAAACTTAGAATAACAGAGTGGGAAGAGATCTGGAGGTCTTCTAGTCCAATCTTCTGCTCGAACAGGAGACCTATGCCATTCTGGACAGATGAATGTCCCATCTCTTCTTAAAAACCTCTTGTGATATAGCACCCACAACATCTGGAGCTTCACTTAACCAAGTTGCCAGTCCCAATTGTGGTCACTAAACAAGGACTATATCTAGATAAAGTACAACATAGATTTTCTATCTTCAGATTATTATGATTTAAAATCTATTTGTTGGAGTATTCTTTTAAACATTAAAAAAAGTATTTCACTATCCCTTTGTGGGCCATTTTTTTAAAAAAGCTTATTGTACAAGTAATTTGATTATAAAATCCTATATCATCAAGAATGTATCCAATTTAAAATTTTATTGCTCCATTTTGTCCTGCTCCAATAGCATATGGAACACTCACTTCAATTCACTGATTTCATTTCTTCTTTCAGTTTCACAACTGAAACGAGACCTTTATGAGGTATTAATTAAAAAGGTTTCCATTTATCCATGAACTATTCAATAAGGGTTGCGGGGAGGAGGAGAAATAGGATAATAAGAATATAATTGCTTTATTCAAAAGTATTGATGAAATAAATGTTATACATATAACAGTTCTTGAAATAATACCTTATCTTTAAAATAATTTTTAGGAGAATTTATATTAGTATTATCTAACCATTGCAAGTAACATCTATCATCCAACATGGACATTCCAATTAAATACAGATAATTCTTAGCTTAAGACAGCAATTGGGACTGGAATTGCCATTGCTAAGTGAAGTGATCATAAATGACCACATTGCTTAGTGTTGGCAATCCTGGCTAGTCCCAGTTGATGTAACCTCAAGACGTGTAGTGCGGTGTGGGTTAGGGTTGCCCACAGGGGAATGCTGGGAAGGGCTGGCACAGGTTACGCAGGACTTACGGGAGGGCTAGCTCATGCTGTGTGCAAATCATGGGAGGCTGGGGAGAGGACCAATACAAACCATGCATGAGTCACTTACCAAAGTAACTTCCCTGCCAGCTTCCCCACTGACTTTGTTTATGGGAAGGTGGCCGGGAAAGTTACAAATGGTTATCACATGACCACAACTCCCTGCAATACTGTAATTTTCAATACTAGCAGAATAACACTAATATAACATAATAACAATAATAACACAATAACATAGTACGACTGTGGCAAAAAAGTAAAGATAGTATCAGTAGTAATAGGCACCTTGGGAGTACACAACTGGAGTACCACTTGAACATCATAGGTATTGCTGAAATCACCATCGGTCAATTGCAAAAGTCAGCTTTTATTCGGAACAGCTTACATCCTGCAACAATATCTTTAACATCAACAAACAACATCTCCTATCCCAGATCCTTGGGAAGCACTCGACAGGTGGATAAAAATGCCAAGTCCAGTCTGAACATCTGGTGGATTGTTAGCCAGATGTTCAGTCTGCATAATAATAATAATGCAGCCATTTTTACAATCTGTGATGGAAAATATTTGATTTGACCATGTAATAAAAAAGTATTGGCTAGATCCTGCCCCTGACATATTTGCTGATGATTTGAAAAAGATACTGTGTGCCATTTAGATTTTCAGCTTCATATCCCATGTTTTATGTTCTGGATCCAATCTGATGCTTTGCTATATATTTATTTTACAAAGATCCAGAAGTTCCTGTCAAAATCAGGCACAATCTTGCATTTGTGTGTTGTTATCACATATTATTTACAGTTTCCTAAAGAAACTGATTTTTTTTTCTCAACAACTCTCCTTAAACATAGATTTTCTTCTGTAACCACTGCAACCACCAATATGAAATACCCAATATATTTGTTCAAAGTTGTCTACGAAGGGTGCTTTCCACAGGGAAGCCTTGAAGATCAATCAGTGTAGGAGAAAAAAAAATTCAGGGGGAAAAAAAGTAGGTCCCTCATCTCTTGCCTTGGGTTCAGATGCTCTTTCTCTTTTGATATATTCTCACAGGAGATTTACTCCTTAGTTAACCATAATGGACTGAATTAGCTTCCTCGTCTTGTAAAAGACACTACATCATAAAGCAAGCACAGCGCCTCAGTTTATACCATCCACTTGGCTCAGTGAGGCTGGTTAGTTTTGGGGTTCATAGACACAGATGCCATGGAAAGAAAAATTTGACTTTTCTGGCAATGGGAGAAATTGGTGTGGTGTGTTGTGGGGAGAAGGAGGAGGAGGAGGAGGAAGAGACGGGGCAGAAAGAAATGTCGTCTTTGGCTAAAGTTTGAGGGCCGGAGTGTTTTTTGTTTTTGCATGCGGGGTGAAGTTTACCCGCCCAGCCATGCCTGAGGTAAGAGGGAAAGGGGCTGATCGCGACAGATTTCCTCGGCCTTTGGACAAATGCCGCCGGCGAGGGAACAGGTTTCCACCCCCTCTGAGCCGCCTGGGGATTGCGTCAAGATTGGAGAGGAGGATCCTCCTAGAAATAAATTAACCAAAAAAAAAAAAGCCGTCCCACACTCTCCCCGCTCCTCCCTCCCGCTCTGTTTTGAAATGGGATCTGGCCGCTGCCTTTGATCGGGACATAATCGTCTCCTCCCGTGCTTGGATCCGCACCGGCGGGAGCAATAGGAGAGGCGCGTCGCTCCTCGCCCGGGCGCGGATGAGCCTGGCTGGCATTTTGCGTTTCAATCGCGCCGCGTGAGACAACCGGCAGAGCCCCAGGAGGGTTTTTTTGGGGGGGGGGGACTAAAGCCGAAAGGGAAGAACGGACCGGGGCTGAAGGACTCGAGCAAGCCAAGAGAGCCGTGGCGGGGAGGGAGCAAGCAAGGGGGCGAAAGTAGCAGGAGAGGAGAGGAGAGATGCGATCCCGGGGCGTCCTCCAGGGCTCGGCGACGGCTGCAGCCACGGCAGCGGCGCGAAAGGCGAAGCGCTGCTGAAAGGCAGGGCGGAGGGCCATGGAGTCGTTCCCAGGTGAGTGGGAGGATCGGGGGTGGGGAACAGCTGGACTCCGTCCGGGAGCCTCTTCTCCCCGCGGCGGCTGAACCCGAAGGCTTGGCGGGCCCGGCTGACCCCCGCGCGTGGGGCGATGTGAGTGGCCCACCCGGGCGAGGAGAGGAAGGTTTCCATTTGGTCGAGAGAGGCGGCTCGCCGGAGAATTTCAAAGTCCAACTTCGCGGGTGGGTGTTTTTTTTGGGGGGGGGGGGGGGGGGGAGCAAGACACCGAAGCTGGGTGGGTGGGTGAAGCCGGCGGGGAGCCTGTGCCTCGGCGCTGCCCTCCGCAGGCTCAGCGAGTCGGCCATGTGCGCCCCCCTCCCAGAACAACCCGCTGCTTCATTTGCCTTTCTGGCTTTTCTACTTCTGGCAGCACTTTTTGTCCGATGGACACGTGTATGTCTGCTTTTTTTTTTTTTTTTAATTACTTGAGGACTGGCGGCTTGGTGAGAGGTAATGAATCGTGGATTGAATATACTTCGATATAATATGTATGGATTGGCGTCTCGGTGCTAATAGGCTCATTCATAGATGTAGGTTCCCCGACAGCTACTCAAGAAGTATCCCTCCTCCCCCATCCACCCCACCCCCAAGACAAGTGTTGAGGCTCCATCTAGGGCGCTTCGCTAGCCTCAAAGCAAGTGGTTTCATGTATTTTCTTTTGCAAATAACATTTCTTTGACGTAGGACCGTTCTTGGGGAATGAATGGTCCTACAAAATGAAACAACTAACGTGCAATTGTGTTCACTATCCCTAAAGACCGTTAATTCATTGGCATCATAGGAACAGTCTGTTCTCCCCCCCACCCCCAAATCTCCAATCTTACAACTTCAGCTTTGGTGAGTAACCCCCATTTTCTAAGAAGCGAAAGAAACTGAATAGACGTCTCTTTATATATAAGAATACTGTGTAGCCTTTTGTTAGACTAGCTTGAACACAAGAGTGGAAAATTGTGTTTTTTAGGCTGAACAAAAATACTTAGGATGCACCCTTAAGATGCAGTAAGAATTACCCAAATGTCTTTTTAAAAGTTTGATATTTATGTTTGAAATAGCATCCTGTCTTAAGGGACTAGATAGTCCTGTCAATTTAGGACTATCTAGTCCCTTAAGATACAGTGATCCTATAGGCACAGCTGTTAGGCATCCTGGATTATCTTGGAAGCTTCAAATCTGTTAATTGTTTGGGTGCTTATTCTTAGCAGGAAAATTACTTGGTGTAACTTCTGAAAGCTCTATTGAAAAAAACTTCTTGTTTGTTACTTCTGAAGTCTTTGGACTAAGAATCAGAAAAAGGGTGAAGCTGTCTAGAAGGACTAGCTTTTCCTGCTCTATAATAATGTAGTTTACTTGTAAAGTCAATTGTAGTCATTCCATACAGGTACTTGGAAGCATCTCCCATTTGTTTTAGTGAAAAGTTTGTTATCAAATTTTTATAGTCACCCATCTCATCAAAAGCAGTTACTTTAAGATAGAGATACATAAGATTTCAATGTTCCTTATCTGTTACTTTAATTCAATGTAAGTAGAGAACATGCTTGAGTAAATGCTAAATGATGTATGTAGGAGAATATTTATAAGGAAAGTGTATGTTTTTGTGTATAAGAGCAATTGTAGGAAGTCTGACTATGTTGCCATTGTTTGTAGGCTTCAGTGGGAGAAATCATTTGAAACCACTTGTTACATAATTTTTTGTTTAAAAAAGTGCCTGGAAGGGTTTCTTATTTTTTGATGAAAAGTTAGACATGTGAACAAAAGGTATAATTTTCCAAATAGCTCAACTATGTAAATTAGTTCTATTAGAGGAACTTCTAGCTGTCATAGTCATGATTTCAGCTTTAATTCTCTTTCATAATTTAGTATTAGACTTTTCTAGAAGGGCAAAAAAAAAAAACTTTTGTAGTCTCTCTCTCTCTCTCTCTCTCTCCCTCCCTCCCTCCCTCTGTGTGTGTGTGTGTTTGTATGTGTGTAAACTGTAGAAATATTATTTATAATACATATATTATGTTCCAACAGGAATATTGTATGAAACAGGTAATGAATGACATTTTACATTAGTGAGATAGAAAGGAAGCAGTCTTGGTAGGAAATGTTGACCTCAGTGACAATCTAGTACCCCCTAAAATTACAATTGGTTTTATGGAGTTTTAGTATACTCTGAAAATCTCAAATTCAAAATGGTCTATACCAGAGCAAAATTATGAAAATGAAGAGAATGGAAAGAGAAATACTTGTGCACAAATAATATATACATCTCAAATAAAAGGGAGGATTAATGATATAATTATCGTACCTGTTTTATTGGGTAATTCCTAAAGAGTGAAATCATGAGGATTTTTTTAATGATAGGAAATATAAAATGCATTATGCAATTTCATCCACTTAAAAACTCATTGGCATAATTTATCAATTATATTGTATCACTGGCAGGTGCAAGCTACTGCTAGTACTATGTATTTCCAAATTTACTATTGCCATCAGTGTTACTTGCCATTTTATTTCTGTATTTCAGCTACTGATTTAATTAACATTTCTCTTCCATTCCAATTATAAATACATTTACTTGAAATCAGCCCTCTAGAATTACACAACACTTGCTTTCAGTTAAGTTCATAGAATTGCAGATCCTGGTGTTTTGCTATTTTTTAGCTTTGTATATTATTATAATTTTTGCAATTGATTTTTAAAATAAAAGGGGAATTCAAGGGAGAACTTAAGTTTTATGTTCTTTTCTAATGAAAAAAACCCACTAAGCATCCACATGGTATTTCATGGATATGATATTTCTTAATGTTTGAATTTGTATTTATATAACTACTCTGATTAATGGATGAATGTTCCATAATGTTCTATTATATTCCTTTTTTACTTTGTGGCTCTGAAAAAAAAAACTATTTCAGTAGATCTTTCAGCCCAGTCTTTATTTTGCTATAATTCACTTTTTGACAGTAGCCCAAATAATGATTTATTTTACTCATACATTCAACTTACCTACCTAGGCTTTATTCCTGCTATCCAGTTCACTTTGCCAAATGATCAGTATCAGTCTTAAATTACAAGACTATGTCACATCATCTACTTTCTCAAGAGATGAACATAAACCTCCTAAAATAAAGGCTCTTAGGAAATGTCTACATGTTGCAGCAGTTCAGAAACTGTTCCAAATTTTTATGTACTCACAAAATCAGTTGGTTTAGAGAGTAGGTTGACTTATGTCAGTTTGGAAGAAATCTGGATCTTACCCTTTGTAGTATTGAACCTTTATCTTGCTTGTAAAATGGTAATTTCCCAATTTACTGGAGCTCTTGCCTCACTAAAGATTCTGGTTACTGGGCTTAGGACAATAATTACTTTCATTTTTCCCCTTCCAATTTCTAATGTCTGTCTCTCAATGTTGTTAGGATGTATTTTCCCATATCAAGTCATTGCAGCATTGTGCAACCCTTATTAGAGCTAATAGGAAAAAAGCATGCTTACAAAAAATGCAAGCATGCTATGATTTCACAATTATAGTTTACCAGAGACTTTTAAACGCAAGAAGAATGTTAACTCTCCAGCTTCCCATAACAATTGCCCAGATATATTTTGCAAAGGATCAGAAAAATATACACAATATAGGGTGCTAAGTATTTGTGATCATAAAATTCTGGACTTGAAAGGAGGCTATTGAAATCCTGACACCCAATCCACTGTTCTTTCTAAGAATCCAAATTTAAACATGTACCACATATGGTTGCTTATCTTCTGCTTGAAAATGTTCAGTAAAGGGGAGCCCATCATCATCTTGGGAGAATGGTTCCACTATCAAACTGCTCTTATTGTTAACAAGATTCTTTTATTCTGTAACTTAAATTTACACTTAAATTTAAATTTAAATTCTATGTCTGCCCCATATGATATTATGATATTACACCCAGGGGTGAAATCCAGCAGGTTCTGACAGGTTCTGGAGAACCGGTAGTGGAAATTTTGAGCAGTATGGAGAACCGGTGGCGGACATTTTGAGTAGTTCGGAGAAACGGCAAATACCACCTCTGGCTGGCCCCAGAGTGGGATGGGAATGGAGATTTTGCAATATCCTTCCTCTGCCACACCCACCAAGCCACATCACACCCAAGCCACACCCACAGAACCAGTAGTAAAAAAATTTGGATTTCACCACTGGTCTGCCCTATCATCACCTATGCAATATCTTTACAGGTAGTTGAAAAAACAGGTAGCTATGATTTCTCTTGTCTTTCTTCCTTTTTAAAGTTGTGCATTTCCAGTTATTTGTCTATGAACGTTGTTCCACTTAGTTTCACATTCCACAATCATCCTTCTTGCCTTTCTCTAAACTGTCATCTTTGTCTGAAACCTTTTTTAAAGTATGGTGCTCAAAACTAGTCTCGAGATAGGGTCTATCCAATATGCAGTTCAGTTGAACAGTTATTCTCCTTGATTTGGAAATGATATTTCTATTCGTGCCTCCAATTGCATCTGCTGCTGATTCAGTTTTCAATTAATTACTATTAATTAATCATGAGTAGTATTCTCCAGGCAGATGTTCCCCATTATATATTGGTTCATTGGCTTCTATTTTACAGAGAAAGTTATTTCTAGCCATCTCTCTAGTCTCTTAGAGTGTTTTTATTTTTGCTTTATAAGCTAATAGTTAGATCACTCAGTTTTATCTCATCTGCAAATTTAATAAACATTTCTTCTATTCATCTAAGTTATTTATAAACTTCTTGAGGAGCACAGAGCCCAGGAGTGAACTTTGTGGCACCTCATTCAATGTCTGCACTGAATGTGTTGAAGCAATATTGAGGATCAGTAATTTCAGAGTATGGTTTTCAAGCCAGGTATCTATTATGTTGTTAATTTGTTAACAACTAGCCTCGTAAACATACTATGATGGAGAGAGTAGGTTTTCTTGACACAATCATTTAGGACTTAAATGCCCAAGTTCTCAAGGTTACCTATAGTTTTTAATCTTG